AGTATAGGTGAAGGATGAATGAATATATCCTATATAATTAATATACCAGTTGGGAGTGTTGTATAGATGAAGTGAAGGTGATGTATGAATGTAGGTGTATGATGAGTGACTGAAAGAAGAAAAGCTGAATGGGATATAAAATATAAATGAGAAAGTGTGGTATGTTTATTGTCTTGCAATGTATCCTGTTTGAAGAAAAAAAATAAAAAGTTACAAAAAAAAAAAAAAAAGATCTAGAGAGTGGGGCGACTGACGCGATACATAATTAAATTTTTAACCTTTTAAATTTCAGGATGATTTCTCTATGAAGTCAGTATAGAACAAATATGTAGCAGTGACCTCAATTTTGACCCCAGCAGGTTGAGATGCAAATGTGTACAAAAGACAACATCAACAAAGTATCTGCACCTAAGTTTCATTAGATGTCATCATATAATTGGACACAAATCACCAAGCAATTCACTTTACAGATGAAGTAATTCCCTATACTTATGTGATGATGTGGATCAAAGCTTTAGCTAAAAGGGTGTTCAATGACTTGGTGAACAAATGTTTCAAAACACCAGATAAAAGTACACACAGTACACAGTTCCTAGATTGTTTATATGACTGTTCTGTCATCATGAAATGTCCTCTCCCAACCATGTGTATGACAATGATTTTGCAAGAATGAATAATGTTGTTAAGTTCAGGACCATTCCAGGTATGTTACAAATAAGAAGAATAGAATAGAATAGAACAGAACAGCAAAGATGACCTAAAAATATACCTGGTGGTTATCTCATGTACTTCATACTCTGTGAAAAAATATCCTGAATCAAAAATTCTGTATCCAGAAAAATTGAGTCTTGACCCGACCCCAGAATGTATTTTAATGGGAATAAGAACGGCGGTATGGAATGGAACAAGTTAATCACAAAATAACCTGTACCTTTTTAAAATAAATATCCTGAAACTAAGTTGTAATCATTAAATAGGTATTAATTTATGAAAAAAATAGACTTCAGTTAAAACAGAACACATTTCACTATTTTCTTCACATTTTATATTGAAAATAAAGATTGTTTTTAATCTAAACCGAGTGTTTGTCAAATGTACTAACAAAGGTAGGTAGCTTGGGATAACTCTTTTTAATCATCTCTGTGATTACCCTACCAGTCAGAGGCCAAGTCTATGTACACATCATTCACCATAAACCTGCCGGTCACAAGGGGTTAGTGGTCTTAGCATGATACTAATTACTTAATGGGGTTGTGAATTCACCTTGAGATGACTGTCTGATAACCAGTATTACCTGTGTTACATAAATAAATGGATTGCCGAACTCAATATCAACAACTAAATCATGGTCAATGTACAAATATTGATGTTAAACACAAAATTGCGACAAAATATTCCACACCATTATACTTCATAGTCTAGATAACTGTAAATCCTTCATTATGGTAATTAAAATGCTGACGATTTGAGAGCACTTCAAGGAATTTAGTGAGGGCATTCTAAAATGAGAGACACTTTTTGAGTAAAGCGGTTTACTTTCTTTCAAAATTAAAATCGCATTCAGGCAGGTTACTTTTTGTCAAACTAATATTAACAAAGACGCAGTTTCGCGCCATTAAGTACTTAGCAGGCAATTAGTGGTCAAGATACATGAAGTTTATTACCTTCAGTCGTTTCCAGACGACAGGACAGGACCGCAAAGACAACAAGAATTGAAAAGAGTCTGTGTCTCATACTGTCTTTTATCACTTCCTTCTTAAATCAGACATTTTAAAACAGGAAGCAAATACAACGCACAGGCGTAGTGCTGTACTTTCGGTTTCTAATTATAGAAGCAGAACACGGTATCTCGGTGTAACCGTGTCGTGATATTTTTGTTCAGTAGATTTCCCCATAATAAAAGTCTTAATTTAAATTTCAAAGACAAATCCTTTCTAAAATTGGTCTTATCAGGTTGAAGTCGACATTGCGGGATTTTAATATTTTTCAGAAGAATATTTTTGCATTGTTTTGAAGATTACAGTTGTGCAGTTTCGAACCTGTGTCTGTACATTAAATATGTAACGCGCACCCTTATGGTAGCGTGCGTGCACGCCGGGCTTTCAAGTTATACGGAGCTACCTGCTCCAGAGGCGATCGGGATACCTCGGCTACCTGGCCAACAGTTGAACGAAATAACACAAACAATATATAAATCTACACTACAATAAGATGGACAGTACCCCTGTCCTCCCTACACCGTCGCCTGGACGTAGATTACACCACAAGGCTACAACACACCGCAACACTCAACAATATGCCAGCATCACGATACGGTCACTACTACAGGCACGTCGCCGAGCTGACCACCGTACAGCTCCGACGTCGCCTGCCAGTGTCCTGCTGTTACAAAATACTAAGGTAAGGTGTCAGTTTTTGTATCAGCAGTCAGGTGTACCAGAGCAGCCTTTGCAGGCGACTCCTTATCCAGGAGCTTCTGACGTATCTGACTCGTCAACTTACTGGCACCAACCACACGTACACTGTTACCTGAGTAGCCTTATTCAGGCAACCCCTTATGCAGGAGCTTCTGATAGCAGTTTGCTGTGAGTGCTTACCTTATAGTATACACTGTAACATTGTACACTCTGTGTGTTTTCAAAACTTCCCCGCCCACAGTAGTGGTTTCAGTCAGGTTATATATAAAATTTGGTGTAACATTCTGGGTGTCATTATTTTGAAGATTAATAAAGCACCAAAAACTCTCATAACCCAAAATACTAGGCGTATGTATTTATTCACTTATAAAGGTGTGATTACATATATAGAAAACACCAGTTTCCTTTACAAATCAATCAATCATGGTTAATTACGTGAATTAGGCGGGTTATATGAAGGGAGGTAACTCAAAGTGAATGAAATCATCACAAATACTAGTTTTACTGGAAGTGATATTTTCATGTTTACACGGAATCTTAGAAACGATAGCTGTGCACAACTGAAAAGAAGACTTTAGACCTAATTGCGTATTTTCATATAATTTAAATGAATAATATGAAATAGCAACTGCCTAAAAGCGAGCTCAAGCTGGTCAACAAGATGCACATTTTGAACAGCCTGATCCATGTTTGCACTGAAGCGTGTTTTTAAAATTGCTTATTTCGAAAGATTTTAACAAAACATCTGCACATACAAATGTACCAAAATATCATCATCATCATCATCATCATCATCATCATCATCATCATCATCATCATCATCATCATCATCATCTCATCTTGTTGATCCTCTAGAAAACAATGTATCAACATGATCAGTCAATGATTTGGTGGCACAGTTGTAACACACTTGTCTTTCACCTAGCCGTCTGGGTTTCGACTTAAATAATTCAATACAAAGTATTGAAATAGAGAACTTCTGCGAAAGTACTAGCTTGATGCCTGTACAAAGTTTTGAGTAACGAGTAATTACCTTGAATGGTTTAAGAGAACTGGCCTGAAAAAAGCTGAAATATGTTATTTGGCCTATCTGTTTCCATGGTAACAGAGAAAGTATTTAAATGGTGAACTTCCCCATTAGCAAAAATACTACAAGCTTAATAAGTGTAAAAAAAATTTAGTAATTATCTTGAATTGTTGCAGAGCATTGGCCCAGAAAAAATGAAATTCGTGATGAGGGTCATCGGTTTCGATGGTAACAGTAAATGTATTAATAAAGTCTTTGATAACATATCAAGACTTAAAAATTGATTAAAAACGTTTTCAAAATAAATATACAAGAGTTTCCCTTTCAGAGTTACAGATATTGCAGAGAGGACTATATATCGATTTTGCTTTTTAAAAAAAAAGAGTTTGTAGTGAAAATATTGTGAAATACAATATAGTTTTAGTCGGATTTATAACAGCGGTGGTTATATGTTTAAAAGTTCTCTACCATCGTTTTCTTTTCTCTTTGCTATTGAAGTTTTCGATCTGTTAATTAACAAATCATAAAATGCTTTAGAAACTTCAGTTTTGGAAGCAATGTTGCCTTGTCTTGATAGCAAAAAGAGGATGAAGTTATAAACACTGTTGAGACTATTGTGTAATCCAGAAAATCAATATAAATGTAAATGTTTAAATGAAATTCAAAAGTCACAATATATTACATAGGTGCCTAAAATGCATTTTTCTGAAGAAAAAAATACCACTTATTATCTTATCATCGTGCCTTACAAGTGTTGGAAAATTTCTAAACATTCAAATACTTGATCATAATTAATTTCAAACAGTTATCGAAAGAATATCCACATCTTGCAGAATTAATATAGTTAGGAGACAGGACAGTGTTTTCGCCAAATCGGTACCTTTCGGCTGCTTTCGCGTAAGAGACGATGTCGTACGAAAAGTGACGAAAGTTCCCGAAGGTTAAACCAGAAATTAGGTACATCGGTGCACAATCATGCTCATATCTTAAATGGTTAAAATTGTAATTTTTCAACGAGATATTCGTTATATGCAATTAAAACCATTAACGTATATATTTGTTAAATCTTTTTGAATTATTCAAGACTTTTAGTATGATTTCATTTCCACACGAGAGCTTGAAACGATAATTTGTATTGTAATAATATTTACTTATTTTTTAACTTTATGTATAATATACATATTAAAATTCCTGAATCAAAAGATTTCCCCAAATAGACAATAGTGTTCCGAATGTAACAAACTTCCTTCCGCGCTAATCCAAGATGTATAAGTTATTGTGATAGTATGTATAGTATTGTAATAGTATATATGTTTGTTTGTTTGTCTGTCTCAGTAACAGTGTTTCACAATAACTACATATATGTATATCTTTCTTTACATTTTCTTTCAATAAGAATAGGCCCGTCCTAGGGTTTTCCACCCTTTAGTACGTCCGCCTCCCGCGCGGACCCTTTGGTCTCTAAGTCCCAGGGATCGGCTTATGTTCTTAAACCGAATCCTACAGCTACAGCCGTTAGACGCCTTCCGTATAAACGCCGTATGGAAGAGCCTCACTCTCTGGAGTTGGCTCCTCCGGTGGCAACTGTTCCTCCAACGGAGACTTCAGTCCCTATCGAGGAGGTGATGGATTTTGAGGGTGCGGCATGGCAGATGAAGATGTTATTCATCTTTCTCCTGGGTGCTTCGATATTGACCCATACGAGTTGTCCGATGAAGAGGGTTCCCAGGAGGAAGATTGCCCAGAGCTGCTGACTCAGCATGCTGTGTCCGGGATGCGAGCCCTCTGGTCCGATGTCTCCTGTATTCTTGGGCGGAGGTTTGCCCACTGCCTTCGGCATCGTCGATTCCCGAGTCCACCACCCTTTTTAGGTTCCCTGGTGGCCCCTCAGGCATCCGTTCAGTCAGATTAGTCCCTGCCAGAAGCCACTGTCGTGTCTTCAGCTCTCGCCGCTGCCTGGGCTCGGGTTATGGAGAAGAATGTTTCCTCTACCTGTGCTCCCGGGTTTGCTGGACTGCAACTCGGCGTTGGTGATCTGTCGGAGGCTTCTGCCAACGACTATGCCACGCATGACGGGCAACTAGCCTCTCAACCAGCAAAGCTGGAATCGAGAGAGCTGGTGGCCTGGCCCAGCAAATCAGGTGGTGTTCGGTGCTAAGGAACACCACACGATGGAGAGAATGTTGCGTCTGTCCATCCAAATTCTGTCGTATATAGACTACCTTACAGTTTGTCTAAATAGGGTATCTGAGGTAGAACAGGCCAACATACAGGACAGAATCACATCTGCCTTGAACACGGCTTTGAGAGCACCAGCGGCATTGCAAGTCTCTTTGCTCTCCAATGTCGTGTTTGTCAGGTGGTTTTCAGTATTGAAAAATCGCCCAGTTGAGGAACCCAACCTCTCCCGTTTGTTGACTGCCCCTTTCTCTGGCTCTACCCTGTTCGGTGGGAGGAGGTGGGCTTCTTTCTGTACAGAAGAACATGAAGGAGGTCTCGGTCACCTCAGCATTTCTTGTGAAGAGGTTCCAGACTGAGAAGGCCAGTGCCTCGCAGGGGTCAGCACCTCCAAAAAAGAAGGCAAAGTCTTCGCTTGTTCAGTCTTCTATGAAGCCCTGATGCCTTCAGCTCCTTGGCCGCGGCAGACCAAGAGCTGGGTGGAGTGGATAGCTGTCTTATTCATCTCCCGCAGAATTAGGCTCCTAGTGGGCAGACGATTTGTTAGATTGGCAGCGTCTCGATCTGCCCCTTCCGGCGCTTTGAAATTCCTGTGGGGAGGCGTCTCTCTGCTTTTCTATCACAGTGGCGGGATATCTTTAGATCCGTCCCTCGCTGCCCAGCCGATTTTCTTTCCTCCCCCGGGGGAGCCGGAAAAGGCTCGGACACTCAAGGAGGAAGTAGGAACCATGCCTGCTATGTCGGAATGCAATCCCGGCTTCTACACCTGAATGTTTCTGGTTTGGAAGAAGTCCAGTGCGTGACGTCCGATCATAGATCTCAGTGTCTTCTACAGGCACATATATTCTCCTCACTTCAAAATTGAGACCCCACGGGGCATTATGGCCTCTGTGAGGGATGGAATGTGGGCAACTTCAGTAGCTCTGAAGGATGCCTACTTCGGGGCTTAGTCCTTCCACCTTTGGAGAAGGTCGAGGAGGCCAGGACTCTAGCCTTCATCGCTTGGTTGCATGTCCAGGTGTGTTGGTTCCTCAGTTTTCTAGGATATCTCTGGCAGATGTGGTCCCCCTAGGGAGGCTTCACGTCAGACCTGTCCAGATGTTCCTCCCATCCAACTGGGTTCCGTCATCCAGGAAGTGGGAGGCCAGGATTCATCTTACCCATTCGGCCAGGGAGTTCGCTCGCTAGTGGACCATTCGGGAGAACGTTCTCAGTGGGGTGCCTATAACAAAGTCAGTCCCCTCTATGACCCTGTTCACGGATGCGTCCATGACAGGATGGGGAGCTTTCCTCGACAGCCAATGCCGGGAGTGGTCTGGCCAACAGCTCTCGAAGGGCATCAATCTGCTCAAGACGAGGGCTGTTTTTTGGCTCTGCAGTCCTTTCGGGGGATCATGCAGTCCAACGGGATTTGTTTGACTACTAACAACTCTTCTGTTGTCGCACATCGTAAGAGACAGGGGGCACCAGGTCTCACATCCTGTGTGCCCTCGCCATTAGCATTCTTCTTCTCAGCCAAGAGATGCAGTTGACCATCGCATTCAAGCATCTTCCTGGCAGGCTGAACGTGTTGGTGGACACTCTCTCCAGGCGCCGCCAGCCAGTGTTGACAGAATAGCAGCTGTATCCCTTGATTTTCAAGGGGATTTGTCAGGTGTGGGACAGATCTCTTATAGACCTGTTTGCCACGTTCCTAAACAACCAGCTGCCAACCTTTGTCTCCCAGGTCCCAGATCCGAATGTTTGGGCTGTAGACGCCCTTTCTCGGGAATGAGACGGGATGTATGCGTATGCATTCCCTCCCTTCAATCTGTAGAGATCCTCTACCTTTATCCGTGGAGGCCTCACAAAGGCAGGCTTTTCTCGAGAGGTGTCGGATCGCACTGCACGATCAATCAGGGATTCCTATTCTGCCGTCTACCAGTCACGTTAGAAGATCTTCTGTGATTGGTGTATCGACAGGGAGGTTGATCCGTTCGAAGCACCTGTACAGCTGATTGCGGATTTCCTACTCTCTCAGTTTAGGGACCGCAATCTGGCTCCTGGCATTGTTGCTGGCTATCTTACAGCTATTGCCAGTGTCCTTGCATTTTATGGCAGGAAAGAGAAAGGTTCGTCCTCCTCATTTCATATCGGCGGGTGTGCGCGTGGGACGAACAGTCCAATTCGGTAACGTCTAATGAGGTAAAGTGATGTTATATATTAAGACGATCTTGCCACAACGACAAGGATTAAAACAAAACTGATGTTCTGTTTGTAAGTTTTGTTTGTTTATAAGTGCTGTTAGTTGATAATTCAAACCAAGCCCCCAGACTAGCTTCTTGTCAACTCTCACGTACATTGTTCTGTACGCTTACGTCATGTCGAGAATTCCGTAAAATAGATTGTTCAAAATTTATCAATAGTTCAACCACACTGTGCTTCTTTTTCGAAATATATAGTAATCGTATTGTTATTAAAAAATAAACTAATTTTGGATGCTTTTAAAATAGCGATTTGAAAGATCGCGGCATTATTTACGCAGAAAATTGCCGCTAGAGGGCTCTAACTGTTTTCGATATTTCAGCCGATGAGAAGGCCAGGATCGGTAAATTTTGTCTGAAAGGCCTTCGCAATAGGCTATGCGTACTGAGAACGTTTAGCTTAAAAACACACCCTTCTAGCTTTGCATCATGCATTTGCTCAGCAATGTTGTGTATGCTCCCAGTTTCAAAGTAACATGAATTGTCACTGCATGGTTGGTTTTTTTCAGGTTATGAAATGGTCTTGGACATTGCCCATGATATAAATCTGGAGTTAATGTTTGAAATCGTTACCACTTTGATACTGCGATTCATTTCCTCTGGTATCCTATTCCAACTGACTGATGATACCTGCTAAAGGAGAAATCTAGAGTACAAGATGGTGGGCAGTTCAAATCGCCCTTTGTATGTAATCCTGAAGTAAACCATCCTTATTATTGCTGTATCCTCTGAAGTACTGGAGATGTTTCAGATCAAAGTAGAAAAGTATAACAATGATCAGTGTATTATATAAAGATCATTCAATGTTGGGTGCCGAGTTCCCTCGTTTGTTCAAAATAGATGATTTCAACTTTTGCATTTGCAATATATTTTACAGATATACAAGGAAAGAAATATACGCTTTTCAACATTAAGCTCAACATTTACATAGTTCAGGTGCAATTTTGATTCAAAAATTAACGTAAAACCATACATTGACAAGGAAAGTGAGGATGAAATAAACCAGTAAAATTATTTCCTCTTTTTATTTTGTATTATTGGAACCACCCTACCTATGTATTTAGTTTAGCAATAAAAACTAAGGAAGTTGTACAAGTTTGATAAGTTCTTTACCTACAGTATATATATCTAAAGATATAGACGCTTTTGATAGCAAAACTCGTTAAGTTTGATCTTGTATCATGTTCTTTTTCACTGATTTGAAATGATTCTTTTAGATATATGTCCATTTATTATGTACAATGTTGAAAACATGATTCATTTGCAACTGTTTTAACCTAAAATTTACATTGAGCAAGTTCATGTAATTTTTTACCTTGGGCTAAGATTTAATATAAAACGTACAACCATGTTTTGTGTTACTTGAATCCCGCATTTTAGTTCTTTTGATAGCCTTTCATACAAAGAAGTGCAAGCATAATCACAGTGGCATTGGATGAGTGCTGAACAAACTGCCCTACGAGCTTTTAATGACAAACAGCCACTTTTCCTATACAGGAATTTTAGTCCCAGATTGAGCGTTTTGATAATATCCTTCGCATTTAGCTCACCTGAAAGGTACTCGTCAAATAGTACGCCAAGATATTTGTCTTCCGGCTTGGTCTCAATTTCATTATCACGAGACATCACTGTAAAAGATTTTTCAGGAAAGTTTCTTAGTTTCCTTCTTGGGCCAAATAGGATACTTTCTATTTTACCTAAGTGAAGGTATGGTTTATTATCTATTAGCCAGTTTTGACAGGTTTCTAAAATTTTTGATAGTATCATCTGGATCATTGTGAGAAAACAGTATTATACTGTCATCGGCATATAAGAAAAGCTTGCATTTAGGATCAATACTAATATGCGTGTCATTGACATAGATAAGGAATAGGAGAGGCCCAAACAGGCTACCTTGGGGGACTCCACAAGGAACAGTTCTAGAGTCCGAGTTTGTTCCATTTACATTGATTCTCTGTTGAAAAGGAGTTTCTGAATCCAGACTGAAGTTCGCAAAGCAAATTTTTTTTTTCAAAAATAATTTTAGTTGTACATATACAGATTTTTCTAATATTTTTAATACTGTGCTTAGAATGCAGACTGGTCGAAAATTTTCAGCCTTCAATCTGTCCTTCTTTTTTACTTTACTTTAGCTAGTTTAATTTCATCGGGTGCCATACCCTCTGGTATGGATCGGTTTATTAAGAAAGTAACTGGCACTTCCATAAAAGAAGCTGCATCTTCTAAAAACCTAGCGGGAATGTTGTCAAGGCCTGTACTTTTACTAGTGTTTAGGTTGAGCAGTTCCTTTCATACAAATTCCTCAGACATGTTTGATATGAAACCTGGATTTGTTGCGATTTCTTTTAGAAGAAAATTCCTTGACCAAATCCCCTTTTGCTTGATAGGTCCCTGATCCTCAACCAGTGAAAATGCTACC